GATTTGTTAACTTCGTGTGACCAAATAAAGCCCTGTAAAACAAAAGGCGTTGTGATTGTTATGAAATTGAAAAAAAAATTTGAAATTATGGTTATGACTGATAGCATACATGCAACATATGTGACAAAAAACAATCAACTCCGTTATGTGTTTAAGCTTGTTTGCTTTTTTCAAAAGCGGATGTGAGTGTTAGGCATTCTTCGCTAGGTTTCCAATAAAAAGTCAAATACCTCGAAGGTGAAAGAAATTCCCTTAAAGCGCTATTGGTGTGTTTGGGTGCTATTACTGCATTACGGTATGCGTGGTAAAAGTGTAAACACACACCGCCTTAATCAACATTTTGAGCGTTTATCCAAATTCTTCATCGAAATCTGCACTGCCATACATTCCTGGTGATAGACATGCGCCGTTTGTTTACATTAAGCCTGGCTATGTGGAGACTGTTAGAGATTTAATACCTGTGCACACATACCCACACATACTCTTGTTGTGTCAGCAAGCCACGCGTCGCTCTTGAGATTTACAACACCAATACACATACATGTATGCACGCATATGCCAGAGAAAGAGTATGGGTGCATCGAGTACCGGCAGCGGGCAGACCAGAGTTTGGAAGTGTTTTATTACACCACCGCGAGTGTTCCGTTGCTACCTTGGCAGCGCGCGAAAGCGAGCATAATTCGTGTATAATTGCGTTTCAACATAGCTGCCACACCACACACACGACACCAAGGAGCCCGCACATTTGCTGGTGGATTTCCCTGCAATTATCCGCTTTCTTGTGCCAACGAACGTCTTCTGTTCATACATATTTATGTGCGTTCTTCTAAATATGTGTGTGTGTGTGTGTGTGCACATTACATATTTCAAACTAATCGATAACACGTGACTCTTAAAGGTGAACGACTGTCTGGCGTTCATAGTCTGTCTGTTTCTTTGCCTGCGTGCCTTGCCTGTTCTGCCGGCTTGTGAGCTTGCTCCGTAGCTTGTTTGGCTAGAGTGGCGTTACCGGAAGCGGACGCGGAGTCGACTTTTTAAGTAGAGACAGACGCATGCTCTCACTCGTCCCTTTTCCTTTCGTCATTTCGTCGTCACATTAGCTGTTCAAGTGATTTTTGCTGTTGTTGGCATATCAAACATAAAACAGGGTTGAAGTGCTAGGAAAACCGCAAGTAACCGTAACCAACATAAAAATTAGGTATGTAAACAACATTTCAACGATGCAAAGGGGAAAAACCTTGAACGTGTACAAATGTAACGGGAAACAGGCAATTGAAAAAATGCGAAAAAGCAAAATTATATGAATCGAAGTCGAAAACATTTGCATTGTCCCATAACATGTATTTGCTCTGGAAATTTGTGTTTTTGCTCATGCATTGTTTTGTTATATAGTTTTTGAGGTTAGAAAGCATCTTAAAATACCTAAAGTTTCTTTCCGGCATTTAATTTAATTCTCTGCTTTCATTGTTGTTTTATTTACATCCTCTTTAAACCATTGTCATGTTTGTTCGATTTCAATCAAGCACTGTTTCAAGGTTATATTTACAATTTTATGCGGCAATAGTGTGATAGTGATTTAGTTTAATGTTTCTGTCGACTTGAAAAAAATACCTTTTATGAGAGGTAGTCACGATTTTATCACTAATGGTTCCTATATTTTACCATAGATAATTGTCTCTATTTGACGTCGATAGTTCCTATTTTCTCTTTTCTAACTTTAATTTGAAAAATTCTTTAAAATCCATTTGCTAAAAATTAGAGAAAGATTGACATTGCTTTTTTTTGTAGTCTTTTTTTTTTGGCAGAAACTTTCAAATGAAACTTGTTTTATATTCATATGTGGCTAATTATCGTAAATGGTAGGGATTTGCGCGCAGAAAATTATTATTCAAGAATACAAAAAGTAATTCAGTAAGTTAGAAAGCTATAATCCCAATGCCTTACGTGGACTCCAAGATAATTTTTCTGTCTCACTGGTACTTTTTGTCAGTATTAGAGATATTTTATATTAACAAAATTATATTATATGCATTGGTTAAAATTATGAAGCTTTGTACAAAAAACTAGGCGGGCTTCGAGAATCTGTGCTTTCTGCGTGATATACATTTTTATAGCCTGTACAGCGTATATTAAGTTAGCGAAATTTGTAACGCCAAAAAAGAAACGTCGGAAACCCTATAATATATATTTATATAAATTATCAGCGGACGACCTGAACCGATTTAGCCATTTCCGTCTGTCTGTCTGTATATACGCGAACTACTCCCTCAGTTTATAAAATATTAATCTTAAATTTAACAGACGTATTTTTCCCTCCAAGAAGCTGCTAATTTGTCAGATTCGCGGATATCGGCAACGATTCAAATCAAATTGTTGTATATAATTTTTTTCTGAAAGGTATTTTAGCTTGTTCATAGTGCTTTTATTTCCACGTTTTGAATCCGTACTTGGTGTACTTAGAGCTGAATATCTGAGTAAAAATAATATCGCCATTCAAAGAATAGTAAAGCGGTATTAAAATAATCAAAGAAAATCTGTAGAAAAAGTTGTTCTAAGTGAATGTCTATCCTTTCAAATATCCCATGGAACTCTTAGCAGAGTATATATGTAATTTATCATCATTATTTTGCACGGTTTTTATATCCTTCCTTACTTCATTTCCTTCCGCCTTGAAATTCTTTTCCATTCTACATATATTTTTGCACTCAATGCACTACTTCAACTGCTAAATAGCACCAGAAAACTGAGTATCGCTTTTAATCCTTTATGATCTGCCCCATACTCCGATTTCCAGCTCACTGCACAATACTAAAAGGAAGAAAAAATAAAAAAAAAATAAAAATATGAAAATCAAAATAAAATTGAAATGCAATCGGATTTCCTTTCAGCAAGTTTCCTTGCTTTCGATTTTTCGTTTGACTGTGCGGTTTTCATTTGTCAACGCTTTGTGTCCAAAAGTCCAGGGGCCGCTCGGACTTCACTCAGCTGAATGGTCATTTTGTGTTTTTTGTTTTGAGTCTCTTTGACAGCAAATTTAGTTTCTGCTGCTGACACACATGGACCTTGCTCTTTGACATACTGCTCGGTCATCTACACTCATAAAGGGGGAAAGAAGCGGACGCCAACTCAGCTCATCGTACGAGTCCAGACAGATGTTTCACATTAAATTTTCTGCAACAACCACAGGCGCCTCAATTCGAGCGCTTCATATCAGTTGCTGCTAAGTAAGCCCGCTTAATTACACTCAATACAATCGATCGAAATCTATTTGTAAAATAACAATTCAGCCTGAGCTGCTCTGCCATTGTTGTTATTGTTATTATCCTGCTCTTCTCGTTCACGTCTAGGATATTATCGAGGCACAAATTGCAATTTACACAACCCCTCAATTAACCAATTGAACGCTATTAATGCCAACAGGCGATAATCAACCCTTGACTCGACACATACACATGCCTGATCCGTTAAAGAGCAATAAGTGGGCTAATAGTAATAGGGAGCCGCTTTAGGCAGGTGAAAGGTTGGATATCGAGGGTTCTTGATTCTTGAATGTCATTGTCATCTCTCGCTGTAGACAATAACAAAAATAGAGGTGGTAGTCTACAGTAACAACATCAGGCCACCAGTATATGAACATCTGCAAGTGTTTATGCTGCAATTTAACGTTGAGTGCCAGACAACGGTCGCCGATTTGTCGAGCACTGCACTCCATCGCTTAAAGCCAACGTCGCCGCAACAACTAATGTGTTGCCATAGACAAGTTGAGCACAGTCGGTCAAAGACTTTGTGCGCATTCTCTGCAGTTGAATGGAAATAAATTGCCAAAATCTCGAAAGGACATTTCACAGATGAAATCGGCTATAAACGAACGAAAAAGGTGAACGACAGCCAGCAGCCAACGAACCATAGTAAGCAGTGGGTAGTGGGCTATCAATCGCGTGCAACCGGTAGTCAAGTTGCTGGGAAGCTGAGCCGCTAAAGTCATTGGCCCGTCTTCTTACTGCGCTTGAACTTGGCGCTCGTGTTTATGCGGGCGAATGACTTGTGGTTCGCCAAATTAATGTTATCACACGTTTCTGATGGAGTTGAAGGCTTTCTTAACCTTTTCGTATTTACACACTTTTATGTTTTGCAAATACCCGAGTGAGCAATAAATTTATTGCCAACCGCAGTGAAAATTGGTTCTTTAATCAAGCTGAAGAAATGATGTACAATTTTTTTTTTAAATAATAAGGCGACGAGCTTCCATAGCAAGTAAAATACGCGTTTTCTAAAAATTGAATTGAACAGGGTATATTAAGTTTGCCACGAAGTTTTGTAACACTCAGAAGGAAACGTCAGAGACCCTATAAAATATATACATAAATGATCAGCATAATGAGCTGAATCGGTTTAGCCATGTCCGTCTACCTGTTCCTCAGTTTTTGAGATATTGAACTGATTTTTTGCGCACGCCCTTTTCTCCCAAAGAACCACCGAAAAAATTTTTGTTTTGGAACATTATGCGACTTTCTCGAAATAACTTGGTCTGAAACTGGTAACATATATGTAAAACACATATAGGTATATTAAAGTGTCCTTATTTATTTTTTGGTTTCTATAAATTTGCGATTTCATATGTTTTATTTATAATGTTCTGATTCATGTGGTAATGTGTGTTATAAATTTGTTAAACAAGTTGAGTTACTGGAATTAGGCAGACTGATACAATTTCTACCGAAAATCATACATGAAAATTCTTAAATCTTTAATTTTAGCACGAAGGTGCTGTTAGCTTTTAAAAATAAACAAACTGTCACTTCAGATGCAATATCATCGCTTTAATTTCTACAAATGTCACATGACAGGCCACACAATGACATTTCACTTGAAGCGCTATTGTTTTGAGGTATATTTTCTTTGAAACGCTCTTCAAACAAACACATAAATATTGATTCCGTTCTTTTTGTGTTTCTTAGTAAATTTTCTAAAATATATTTTCAATTTTTCTCTCGTTACAGATTTTCAATATTAGCAACAACAATAACAGTGGTAGCAGCAGCAAGAGCAACTAAAAAGTCAATTCTTTGGGTCAAGGGAAATACCGTACAGCAATGAGAATAACGTCGAAGAAAATCAAACAATATATAAACAAAAGAGCAAAGAATAACACATGACTGCAACACAAACGAAATTGCCGACGCCGCCGACGAGGACGAGAACGAGTACGACGACATAAAGGTCGCCGTGGCGTAACCGAACACGATTACGAAGCCAAAGGCAACACTAAGCAAACACAGGCGAAAGAAGAAAATAAAACTAACGAACGTGGAATCAACAAATCCGCAGTACCCGCAGTACTACTACAAAGGTGCTTGTGAGCACTGCACAGAACACAGTGCAACGTTACGACGGCACAGAGGGATAAAAGACTCGTCACAAGCGCCAGTGCCACTAAAAAAAAAATATACATTGAACAACCTATATACTAAACATTAAACTACATAAAACCGTGCGTGCTAATTCACTAACTAATACTAGAAGCGACGCCGATATAACTGTAACACAATCGTACTAAGTGCAACAGTGTTTCCCAAACCGGTGTGTCACGTGCCCCAGTCACAACAACTAGTTTACTGCATATATAAACCGTAATCAAAAGGACATCACGTCACTAGTGCAGCACGTAGCCATAGCTGTAGGACTTAGTGATAGTAGTTAGTAGGCGTCAGCAACTAACTGTATCCAAAGCTTTTCAAATTTAAAGCCCTCCACGTTTTTTCACTTTTCAATCGTTAATATTTTAATAAAAAATCCAAAAACAAATAACTTGACTGATAGTTTATTAAATTAATTAAACATCTCAATTGAATTGAAATTTAAACGAACATTCACAAAACAACAACAACACTCGTACGCATGCAACAAATGATCTCGAAATCAAAACAGTACTCCACGATAATGCAAGAAACGCGCGAAACGGTCTAACTTGATTCAAAGTTAGGCAAAATAAAAGAAGAATAAAATACAAAAAGTAAAATTGAAACAACTCAAAGCGAAATTGACAAACCAAAAACCAACAATTAACATTGCCAAAAACGAACAAGAATTGTAGCATTTTTTAAAAACACGAATAAGTGAAAAAATACAACAACAACTACAACGCATATGATACTATTCGTATAGACATCGACGTTTAATTAGTAAACCTCCAAAAAACACAAATAAAAAGCTAAACAAAGCCAGAATAAATAACGGACAAATCAAATTGCAACCGTGCGTCTCCTCGCTGCAACACAGTGCGAATAATCAAATTTGGTGCAACAAAAAATATTAAAAACTTAACTTAGCAAAGTGACTTTTACATTACTCAACGCCTTTTTGTTGTTGCTTTATAAAATAGAGTGCCACAGCAGTGCGAGCTGGCGGATAAGCAAATTTTATTTATAACACAAAGCGTGTGAGCGAGTGAGCATAGCAGCGGCCGGCGGGCTAAGCTCGTTGATTGTGGCAAATAGCAAGCGGCGAGTGTCAAGCAGACGAGCAAAATGGGCAATAAATGTTGCAGCAAACGACAGGATCAGGAGCTGGCACTTGCCTACCCGAGTGGCTATAAAAAATCAGATTACACATTCGGGCAGACGCACATAAATAATAGCGGCCAAAAGCATAACAATGGCGGCTCGCTGGACTCCCGCTACACGCCAGACCCGAATCGTGGGCCGCTCAAAATTGGCGCCAAGGGCGGCGCAGACATAATACGCCCGCGTACAACGCCAAGTAAGTACTCACTTCCGTTATGTGTGCTGTGCTGGTTATGTATGCGTGTGTGTGTGTTTCTGGGTGAAATATATCTGTACCTGTGATTGTGCATATGTATGCATGTGTGCTAGGTTAATTATTAAGTTTGCAACGCGAAGTGGGCAATTGGGAAACCCAGTGAATTGGCAGACTCATTTGCTCAGCAATTATAACAGTATACATACATGTATATAGTTATGTGTGTGTATGTGATTGAATTTGGGAAATCACTGTTCGCACATATTTGTATGTGCAATGGTGTGAAAAGTCGCTCTTTTTAATATTTTATTGCACGTAATCCGTATTTATTTGTTAATCAGGCTAAGCTCGAAGCTCATTGAATATTCATTAATTAAATTTCAATCCTGTAATGTATGTGAACATATGTATGTGAGGGTGTGTTTCTTCCAATGTATAGTAAGTTTTAAAACTTTTCGATGCCTCAAATGTGTATGTTCGTATGATGGCGTTGAGGTTAGGATCTGTCTTGAGGTGCTTAGGGATACGAAACGCTCTTGCTATCACTTGTAAGGCACTACCATGATATAAATAATAAATACCCCCTCAATTGATTAACTCACTTCCTAAATGTCCGGCTTACATCATTCAACAATTTCATTGCAACGAGCATACTTATCTTATCCTTACCATAGATCTTTATCGCACCTCGATTTTGACCTCTTAGGACTTATTTGTAGATTATCAAAAATAATAATGCTTTGAGATCGATAACGTTACATATCAATTAGTTTAGGATTATCAACGTGGGGCTCAACGTGACTGAGTTGAGCTCCCTTCGAGTAATTCAGAGTAAATGTAATCGTAGCCACCTTTGAATCATCATATTAAATTTTCAAGTTCTCTATGATTTAGATTTTTATAAATATGTTTTTAAATCAAAGTTAAAATTACAGGTAAAAGAAAGCTTTTTCTTTTTGAGTTATGTTCGGAATTCTGTATCGCAACATATTTTATGTTACTTACTTACACCATTCTCAATTACATCAGTATGTATGTATGAAAACATCCAGTGGCAACGCCATAAATACGGCGACTTTCCTTCTCGCTTGGCTTGAGCTCAACAACGCTAAAGTACGACTTAACGCGGTTGAATAATTAAATATTTATAGTTGTAAGTTAGTAGGTACTCGTATGCACAGTATTGGGCAAAATTAAAGCGCTGCATTGCCAATGATAATGGATGGTATCTTGTTTCACCCAACGAATCCATTATTTAGTAATCGTTTATTTACGGTGTCTTAGTAGCCCAGTAGTTTCGGAATACTACTAGGCTACTGGAGCACACCTCACATGCATAACATCACTGTTACCTTATGTTTCCCTTCCATTTCTTTTTTTACAATTTAAGGACCAATCGGTACACATTTTTTTAGTTCGGCAAATACATAATTAATTGGATTAATTAATTTGACGATGTTACGTCTTTTTAAAGGGCGCCAAAATGTAGGCAATTATTTTTATAAAGTGCAAGGTCTCGGCATCCATTCCATAGATGTTGATTAGTTAGTGATTATTTCAAACCAGAGGCGACTAAAACAGTATTTTATTTTATATATGGGCATACTGCATATATTTTGCGCGCTACTGTGTCTAATAAAACTTACTGTGATGTGTATTTGTAGTGCGCTTGAGCAGCAACATTGAAACTTGCCCTCTGGCACACGCCCGCCCTAGCGTTGGCTGCTGCTGCGCTGAACCTTGCGACCACAACACAGCTGCGCATTGAACGTTGAGACCGAGACCCCGCAACTGCGGCATTCATTGGCTCTGCAACGTGGCGGAGTGAATGTGGTAGCAGCTGTGATTGCTGTGTCTTCATTATTGAGGCTTGCGAGCATTACAAGCCAGCTTGAGCAAATTCCATTTGCAGGCCAAAGTTGAAAGGCGCAGAACAAAGCTGATTTTCTCGGTGCAGCACTTGTAGCAAATGCCACTTGATACGCTCGCCTCGCCATATGTGTGCCAGCAGCGCGGTGGTGCATGTGGCATGTTGCATATGCGCTGATATGTGCATCTGTAAGCGTTTTTTATGTTTTTTCGAGAGCCTGTGTGTGTGTGTGTGTGAGTTCACGGAATGCACGGCGAGGCCAAGGCTCCCTGCTAAAAAAGCTAAGCTGGCAACTGGTCGGCAGGCAATTATTTACATTTCCATTTACACAGTCACAAACAGACATTACTGCCTCTCAACTTTTTTCTCCACACACACACACTCACAAATTTCGCGCTTAACACCAAAAAGTATGATTGACCGAAAAAACAGCTAGTAAATATCTAGTGCAATACAATTAGCGACAGTAAGTGCACTTGGAAAAAGTTGGCATTACGGTACGTTATTCATTAATTTTGCATATCATCTCCCCTTGCTGTTGCTGGCTTACATTTTATAGTTATTTACTTTTTTCTTTTGCTCTTCATTCAATTAGTAGATTGTGTTGTAATGAAATATGGCAGCACGACCGAGAATGCGACATTTTTAGGTTGCTTTAAAAGGCTTTCAAATTTAAATAAATATATACCATATATGTACATTACTTTTCTTGTGTGAATGTTTGTGTCTATATTTATTATTTATCTGTGTATTATTGAGGCATTCTTGTAATTAAGAAATATAGCAAAAATGAAGCTTTTTTCTCGTTTTATTAAATTTCCTCAAATTCATGCGATTTTTCCAATTTCCTCAAGCCATTGGCCAGTTGCCGCCGTTTTGTCCTCGCCGACGCAATCAAATGCACATTAAATTTTATTTAAATCCAACCCTTATTTCGTCACTACACACAAACGCAATTAAAAAAAATATTTGCCTTTTAAAACCCCCACGCATCTCTCCTGCCTGTTTCCCTCTGTATTTACAGCTGGCGTTCAAGGTGGTCTGCCCAAGCGACGTGTCGTTGTCGCCCTATACGATTACAAGTCGCGCGATGAGTCTGACTTGAGCTTCATGAAGGGCGACCGGATGGAAGTAATCGACGACACCGAATCCGATTGGTGGCGTGTAGTCAATTTGAGCACACGTCAGGAGGGTTTGATACCCCTAAACTTTGTCGCCGAGGAGCGCAGCGTGAACAGTGAAGAGTAAGTACACATATTTGAGATGATTTTCCATGTGTTGTTGATTTAATAAACATATTCCTCCACTCTCCGCCACTTCTTTTAGTTGGTTCTTTGAAAATGTGCTACGCAAAGAGGCCGATAAGCTTTTGTTGGCGGAGGAGAATCCACGCGGTACATTCCTGGTGCGTCCGTCGGAACACAATCCCAACGGATATTCGTTGTCGGTGAAGGATTGGGAGGATGGCCGTGGCTACCATGTGAAACATTATCGCATCAAGCCGCTCGACAATGGTGGCTACTACATTGCCACAAATCAGACTTTTCCCTCGTTGCAGGCGCTTGTGATGGCCTACAGTAGTAAGTTGTCAATTTCATGCACATACATTCGTCAATACAGTAGAGGCCAGTTTATGGTGCCAAACAGAAAATGTATAATGTGACTTTCAAAGTGGAACACTTATGAATTTGATGAAACGAAATATACAGAGCAACTAGTCATTATTCGGACGAAATTTCGCAGGAATGAAATGTATATATTGACGAGTTTATAAAAATAATAATTTGGTCCTACATTATAGGAGAGTTCGCTTACACTTCTTAAAAAATTTTCGCGATTAATTTAGAACTGTAGAACGGTAAACATAGTCCAAACAGTTGAAACTGCTAAATAATATAATATTTTAGCTTTACAAATCTTCGAAAAACAATTTTAATAACTTAATTACAACTTAAACTCTCCAGAATGATTAAAACGGCCACAATTTTTACTATAATACTAAATAATGCAAAGGAATTATAATTTTAGTCTCATCTTTAAGTTTATTTCCACCTTCATACGCTAGAAATTGTTATCATCAACCTTAAATAGTGAAATTCATATAAGGAACAAATTATTATATATTTGGTATACATAAACTCAGCTAAAAGTAACATCAATTAAAACCGAATAATTCGTAAAACGCTGAAGCGTTTGAAAGCGCTTAGAACAAACCTCAAATTTAATATTTTCATTGCTGGTTATCATTTTATGGCCGCTACTGTTGGTAGTGCCGCGTTATTTTGCGGTTTTTTTTTTTGTCACTCTGTGTATTCATTTACTATTAATTTCCGCAGAAAATGCACTTGGCCTTTGCCACATACTGTCGCGTCCGTGTCCGAAGCCACAGCCACAAATGTGGGATCTGGGACCGGAATTGCGTGACAAGTACGAGATACCGCGCTCCGAAATTCAATTGATCCGCAAATTGGGACGCGGCAACTTCGGTGAGGTGTTCTACGGCAAGTGGCGCAACAATATCGACGTCGCCGTGAAAACGCTGCGCGAAGGCACCATGTCTACGCAGGCGTTTCTGCAAGAGGCAGCCATTATGAAGAAGTTCCGACACAATCGCCTGGTGGCATTGTACGCGGTATGCTCGCAGGTGAGTACATCCATACATATTAGTGTATTTATTGCAACAATCAGTTGATTGACACTTTACTGTTTGATTTGCAGGAGGAGCCTATCTACATTGTGCAAGAGTACATGTCGAAAGGCAGTTTACTGGACTTTTTACGCGAAGGTGACGGCCGCTATTTACACTTTGAAGATCTTATCTACATAGCCACGCAGGTGGCTTCCGGCATGGAATATCTCGAATCAAAACAACTGATACATCGTGATCTGGCCGCACGCAATGTGCTGATCGGCGAGAATAATGTTGCCAAAATTTGTGATTTCGGTTTGGCGCGCGTTATCGCCGACGATGAATACTGCCCCAAACAGGGATCGCGTTTCCCTGTAAAATGGACTGCCCCCGAGGCGATAATCTATGGCAAATTTTCAATTAAATCCGATGTCTGGTCTTATGGTATTCTACTAATGGAACTCTTCACCTACGGACAAGTGCCATATCCGGGCATGCATAGTCGAGAAGTCATTGAGAATATCGAACGAGGCTTTCGCATGCCGAAACCAACTAATCACTATTTCCCCGATAATATTTATCATCTACTATTACAATGTTGGGATGCGGTGCCGGAGAAGCGGCCAACATTCGAATTCTTAAATCACTACTTCGAATCGTTCACCGTGACGTCGGAGGTGCCCTATCGAGAGGTGCAGGATTAAGTAGCGTAGCACTCGAAATGCCGAGAGTGATACAGCGTTATTGCCAGTGCGATATACATACATACACATACATATACACAAACATACATAAATTAACTAGATTTAATTGTAAGCCTTTTTAATTGAATTGAGAAGTGAGTCGTAAAAACAAAAACAAAAACAAAAATATCTATATTGAAACAAAAAACTTTTCAATGGCAAAAGTTGAAATAGCTGCAGCGTAAACGCAAAGCAGCAGCATTAAGTTGCACACGCAACCGTTTGGCGCTGCTATGTATGGCCAGTGGGATGTACCAATTGAAGAAGAATTTTTACATTCGTAGAGAAAACTGCTACATACTAAAATCTATTCTACATTATATACATAACACATAGTACGAGTATGATATATGCGTACGTTTATGATAGTATATGAAAAAAAAAAATATTTTACACTTGATAAGCGAAATCTTTTATAATTTATATAGAGGTATTTATGTAATTTTAAGCTTATGGCAAATGAATTGTGCTATATAAGAAAAGCATTTAACAAATACAAAAACAACCACAACAATAAAATATCTGATAGTCAGTCAATAGCAAGAAAAATTAATAAAAAATCTTGAAATCTTGCAGAAAAAATTACAACAATAAAAGAAATAATCTCTCCATATGCATTTATCAAGTTCTATGCGCATGCTTTGGGTTAGCGCTGAAACTGTCCTTCTCTGTGCTGCCCCGACATCGTTTTATTTGAACTATTTTTTATTTTAGTTTTTTTTTCCTTCTTATTTCTTAGTATATAGTTGTTTTACTAATGTAAGTTCATCGTAACCCTTTAAATCGAAATACTTTAAATAAGAGCAACTGAATTTAATTTCTAAGAATTAGTTTGTGTAAATCGAATTTAAGCGTTCCTCGAAAAATCACAAAAGCTGCAAAGCATTTATACGAGCGCATATATGTTGCGCTTTATTTTTCAAAAATGTAGCACAGTAGAGTAAATTTATTACTTATTGTAACACTTATTTTTTATTCATTTCATTTCACTTCATGCCAGAGACATCATTAACACTTGCATTTCTTATCAATTTTTGAGTGGCAAAACAGCTGTCACAGTTTAGAAAAGAATAAGAAGGAAATGCACTATTTCATCGTTATTGCTTTAAGTTCTATACCACTGCAACAACAACTAACCTTCATAGCTATGAAAAATCTGAATTTATGAAAAAAATACCAGTTCTAATTTTCTCAAAACGGTCCAGTACGCTGACGTATTCGACGATCCAGTTAAGTTAAGCGGTTATTGAGCGGCGACTACAGCTCAGCACTTGCTCACTCAATATACTGTGGGGCTAAAAAATAATATTTCTATTCAAGTGACTCAGCAAACTTTAATAGTTAGTATTCATATAGCAATGCGATTGCTTCCCAAAAATTTATATTATGGACTTAGTAATTTTTTCATTTTTACGAGATACTTAATATATTTGAGCAAAACAAAAAATAATATAAAAAAGTTAAGTGAATTTCGTGCAATTGAGCTCAAACAGTTAAAATTTACAACGTCTTTGCAATATTTTTGAATTGGATTTTCTTTTAATAAATTAATTTGCAAAGTTGCTTATAAAATTTATTACAAAAATATGTAAATGTTTTATAAAACCTAATTTCGTATTATTTTGTTTTAATATTCATTAAAGCAAATTTAAAATATATAAATCTTTAATAATTTTCCTCAAATATTAATATCATTTAATGTTTGTCAAATTCACAATTTATCTTACTCAGTCTCCATAAAGTGATGCAATACCTGTATTTCGCTGTTTTAAAGCAGATAACCACAAACAATATTTTAGCTCATACAATTTCTTATTATATTCTAATAATATTGTTACGTAATTTATGCACTTTGTTTTGCAATGCTTTTATTTTTTTTAATTTAAATATCATATTTGTAGTTTTGTTTTATATCCTTCTGAAGTAAGTAACATTCTTCCATATTTCAAGTTCATATTTTGTTTAGAATGTATTATTTATTTTAAAACATTTCATAACAACAACACTGCTTAAAATAAGACATTTGAAAGCATTCCTGAAATCATTAATTCGTGTTCTCTCATGCCAAATCTGCTATTTACCTAAGTAGACTTCCTATAAAAGACAGTTGGTCCATATCCTTACTAATTTCATTGCTCACTACTCGCAAAGGTTTCAGAACTATATACATACACACCCACATGTAAACCATCTACTGCATACATTGTATTGACGTAACTTTCTTCCAGCTTTGCTTTCTCATGCGCATCACAACTTCCTCATTTTATTTTTCCAGCATACGAACTACTCATTAGAAGATCACTTTAGAATACAATAATCAAATTTAACTGGTTATGAATAACATACATTATTATATGGCATTAATATATACATAAACGAATGAAACCAAAGTTATTATTATTATTATTTTTTTTTTGTTAAAACGAGCGGAGAGCTCAACCTTTTTTATAACGAAAATTTCTCACAAAACTATTTAAATATGTATAGGGTATAAAGATATATATACATACATCCACGAGTGAATTCTTGCATAAGTAAATATCAGTACACACATACATACATACCAGAAATCCAATAGAATCGTGGATAGAAAATCAGTAGCAACACAATTCGTACTCTCCACACGCATACAAATAAAGAAATATGTGAAGTTGGCACGTACATATATATAGCAACGATATTTGAATGAAATGTCAAGTAGATATGTATGTAGCAAAAGTAAAATCGATAACGGTATAAACTCATAATCAGGCAATCCATGTCAGCTTCCACCAACGCCAACGAGTTTAATCACAATTAATTGAATTGTGCTCGGAGCTTTAGTGGAAGCTGAAATAGATTTGCGAGCATACATACATACATAGATACACTTAATTAATTACACACATTCTAAAATTTAGTTACCGGTAAGCTTCAGCACATAATAAATGAATAAATTGGCGCTCATTTGACACAAATCCAGTGCATATATATTGTGGCAGGAAAAGTGATTTGCAAACCAGAAATATGTTTCCATCATACATACACATCACATATGTACATATGTATACCATATACCTACATATGTGCATATATGCATCTATGCAACCTTGCTAAGTTATTTTACAATTATAAAATGCAAACATAGTTAATTTACTTACATATTTAATCATTTCATAGTCATACATACATACATCGTACATACATATATAATATTATTATAAAACGCCAGAAGAATTGCATTGCATCCATCCTCATTGTCACATAAACAAGATGTGCTCATACACATACATACATACATACTCGTATGCACATACATAATTAAGCATTTGTCATAATGTTATGTTACATAAAGCAATTAATTAATTAGTGAAACCAGATTAAAAAATTATTGAATAAAAATAAGTTAAAACAAAATGAAATAATGAAAAAAGTAAAAACAAAATCATTAGAACGTGATTAGGATTAACGTGAATGATAACCTATAAAAATTGTTTAGCGTAGTTGGTAATTTTTTGTACATAAACAAATAAATATTATTAAATTTAAAGCGTAATAATAAATATTAACATAATAATAACTAATGAGAACAAATTGAAAGTGGAATGTAAGGGAGTTATATACGCAAGATTCGCTGCTAAAGCGAATAAGAAGTGAATCATAAATCATAGCTGACAGAAATTATGTGTAATAATAATGAAATAAATTATGATATAAAATTCAAAAATAAGAAATGTGTTTCACTCAACCTAACCTAAAGATGCCGTCATTTCATTGTTTGTTTGTTTTTGTTTTTTACTGTACCCTGAAAAAGTTCATCTTAATGACTGTAGTGGAATTTCACTTTAATTAACATATTACATTCTAAGGTTTTAAGTTCTCCATCATGTCGCTTACCATTGTGGAGAAGTTATTTAACTGCCTGTCTGTCAAAATCAGTATTAAAACCTGTAGACATTTCAGTAGATGTCATGAATTCTTATATTATTGTTTTGATGTTCGAATCAGAATTTATATAGTTGGGCAAACAAGTTTGGAATATGGAAAAGTTGACGACGAAAATATCGAACAAGAAAAAACTTATATTAACAAATCCAAAAGATTCCTAGGACTTGATTTTTATCGTCCAGTTTGATTATACCATTTTAGAGAAAAATCCATGCTAGATTTCGTGCAGATATCACGAATTTGATCGTGCAGTTTGTATGGCAGCGATATGCTATAGTTTCAGATATTGGCGATTCCGATAAATGAGCAACTTCTTGCGCAGAAAAGGAAAGAAAAAGAACGTGTACAAAATCTTAGATGGATATGGCTTAGCTCGTCAGCTCGTCATGGTTATCATTCATATATATACAATATGTATATATAGTATATATATTATAGTGGGTCAAACAAACCGAATGTTTTTTTTCGCTTGTTACTCTGAAAAATTAGTTAATAGACACCTCTGTGAAAGTCTCTCCAGTATGACCTCTCCTACGCCTTATAGTTTTCTACTTAAATAAATCGATTCTGTAGAAATGGAATGCTCTACAAAATGGTCTCTTACTCTTACTTTTTTCGTAAACCTAACCGCTTAAAAGATATTAACGGTTGAAGTTTGATTATTTTAAGATACAAATCCCTTTTTCATATGAATTTTCAGACTCAATGAAAAAAATCATTATAAATTGATAAAATCATAGTTTTGTAAGAAATTTACTGCTCCTGTTTTCAAAATAGTCTGATTTACTGACTGAAACGATTTGCTTCAACAACCATTTCGGGAATGTTTTTTGCTGCTGTAACAACTAAAATGACTATAAGAGAACAATACGGCTTTATCAACAAGACGATGTTCCTGCTCAAGAAGTAGTTGATTTAGGTCTACCCCCTTCATACCTCAAAATTTCACTGCTTGCATTAAACCATATGTACGATCACCAAAATCGTGAGCGATACATATTCAAACGAGGCATAACCCATCATAATCGCTTGCTGTAAAGCCAAACTAGACTGCTGGAAAACAAAAATAGCTGCATACTCACCCGAAAGTCGTCAGACAAAAATAAACAAGATTAGTGGTTTTTTTGGTCTTTTGTTTTTGGACACCGATAAAAACATTGATTTATTTAAAAACTTCGAAAACGGTCTCTCATTTGCTGTATTCTACATATTGGTTTTGTTGTAATTATTGTAATTTGGGTAAGTAAAAGTATTGAATCGTATTTTGTAATCGATTGATATTATGTAATGAACAATGCGAACGCTTGACGCAATTCATCGAGCACTTTTGCATATGCAACAATGTATATTTGTGTATTTGAATGTGTGTGTGTGCGTACTTGTACAGTAATTATTATCATGCCAAAAACGGCGGTTGTGTGAAAGTTTAGGGGTTTAAGTTTTTTTTTATAAAGTACAGCTACTTAGCTAATTTTTGAAATTGTGGTTTTGAAAAATTTGATTTCTACAGACTTTAGTTTACACAGAGACAGAGTTGCATGGCCATAGTGATGTAATAAATCATCGACCATTTAAAGTACATATGTATGTTTGTGTGAGTGTAAGCAGGCAACTCTCTTGCTTTTATGCTTTCTCTATAAATACATGGATACTAGTTAATTGAGTTTATTATACGAAAATTGATTTACTGCTGCTGAGACTACATAATGAATATATATGTCTGTATATATATAGAAGTAGTACGTAAGTATGTATGTATGCAAGTACAAAGTTATGTAAATTCGTAGTTGAAATTAATGTGTTGTATATGTAAATATGTATGTCATTGTTAATTTTACATATTTATTTCTATGCTACATTATTTTCAATACTTTTTTGTTTTTTTATTTTATTTTCAAATACAATTTTTGTAGTGTTGTTTTTGTATTGCCATAACAAAAGCCACAGTGCGGTCATTATTCATTTCTCTGTCGATTCTTCTTCTTCTTACTGTTACCGACTGGCTATTGTTATTTCACTACCAATCCCGTTAAATGTACACAGCTTTCTGCTCCTCACACACACACGCACCCATTCGCCAGCGCCTTAAAAGCTGTTTATTTGTCAGATTTCATCAGCTACATACATTTTGCTGCTCCCTGGCTTTGATTACAAGTACTATTCAATTACATTAGATTATATTTTCGATTATTTAAATTTACATACCCACACATACATATTTATGTGTGTACGTAATACATAAGTGTTTAGTTATTGCATGCGGTTTCAATATTTGGCGCCACTGATTGTGTGTCCATTCTATTTGTCATTTTTGTATGTACTTAAGTATTTGAGTATTTTAAACCTGTATTTCATTGATGAAAGTCGAAAATATTTCACTTCTTATTTTTCCTAATTGACTATTACACTTAACAAGTTTTATTTTTAATAAAAAAATGTATTGATACGTATACTTTTACTACATACTTCTATATATGTAGTGTATATTGAATAGCTGAGCATTGAATGAAACTTTAATTCTCGAATTGTCAAGATCTCATTCTCACTACAATTAATGAATTCGTGTAAGAGTTTAAGTATTATGAAAAACTATTTTTGTTTTCGATTTTTTTTGCATTTATAAATTACTTAAATATATTTTAGCCATAAGATATACACATTTTGTATTTACAAAACTCCATGTATTCAGCTGTTCCTATAATTAAATAAGCATAAGCTATGTGACTCAAAAAGTAGTCCACATGAGAATCAAAGATGGACTTTAATTTGAAATCATTTCCAGACTGCCCAGCCCCTTGACTTTGTTTATCAATCTGAACTAAATAATTTTTTTTTTTTTTTGGAATTCTGGGTCTACTATTTTTATGACACCTTTTAAGTATTAGCAATTCCTATCGTACCACGTCCTTTGAAAAATACTTCCTCATACAAGTACACTGCAAGAAGCTTTATCAGCTACAAACCTAATCCGGTTTGCGATTCAGTTTTGACGCTTAGTTTGCTTGTAACTTTCCATGTGCTTTTTTAAAAGCTCCGTGCCAGTAAGCTTTCAAAAGCTTAATATTTTATAGTAAAAGCTTCAAATGGACTTCAACAAATGGCACACTGATTTTTATTATTATACCATCACTTATTGGTAACGTTTACTTGCGCTAAATATCTTAAACTTTAAGTGTGTCTGTCTGTTTCTTTATGGCAACTCTAACTACACTTATCAATGACAATTAGGTGCATTACTTTTGAATGTTGCACAAGTAGTTTTAATTAAGTAGTTTTCTGTCTCAATTAAAATTTTGGCACTGCCTTAATGAAACACACCCAAGTGACAATATCACAAATAGTTCAATTATTTGTAATATAAAACTCGATTATCAATTGATCTGTTTTCTGTATAGATTTTTATATCAATGAAAGGTTTGTAAGCATTCATTTTTGATTTTCGATCAACATTGTGTCCGCTGCTATTATTATAAGTCTTTGCTGCACTATGTGCTTAGCTTTAGGAGCTTCCACCAGTACAGTCGATGTTTATGTACTGCTAGGCTTAAAAGCGTATTGATTATTAAAAACAAGCTAATTCAAGTTTAGCAACCGAATAAAGTGTTTTGTAAATACTCTTTCATTAGGTAATTTAGTGCGAAGCAAAAGTGAGATTTTGTGCTGACAATCATTTACTTTTCAATATATTACGAGTATATAATAGTATACTATGTACATATGTATAATATAACAATTCGTCTATTTCGTAGCTAAAAGTAGCAATTTTATTGATTCGATGTCATTTTTAATGCTTTCATGAATTGTATAGATTTAAGTCATTATTATTAAAGGTGTTATAAGAAACCGTACAATTAAAAATAATTGATATCGCATTTTTTTAAATTTAATGAGATAAATAGTAGTGAAGTATGAAGTTCCATTGATAAAAAAAATTTCAAAATTTTTCTTGTTTGTAATTTCAAATTTTCTGATTTTCGAATTAGAAAATTGTTCTAAGTAGCACTTTGACAACTACAATATAAAAGTTATACTTGACGCATTCAATGGCCAAATTAAGAAAATTACTAAAAAGCTTGCCTTGTGCTCTTAAAATATTGTACGTTTTATTGAAAAAACGTTAAAAAAATGTCATTAAAATGTTTTTGCAAATAAAAGAGAAGACAGAAGTAGAAGGCAAAATATTGTTCAGATGAAGATTTTCTTTCCTCATTATAAAGTATTTCTGAACTTTTTTTATCCTATGTTCGTATTTGTCACTCTCCGTGGAAAAACATTTTTCCACACTGTTGCACAGTGTTGTTTAGCTTAAAACTACTTCCAGATAACTGCATTTAAAAGGAATTACTTATTGGCAGAAAAGAACTAGGTAACTCGTAAATATTTGGTTTTGCTGAAAATTATTATTATTTATTACTTTTCAACCGCTAGTACCTCGAAAAACACGAAAATAACACAAATTAATTTTAAAAATTTTGAAAAATGGAGTCAACCAGTTAAACAGTTCTGTTCTGTATCATGCCAGTAAATTAGTTCGGGTGCCCTACTCGCAAATGAGAGATGTGCCTTGTATGTAAGTAAATGCAAATATATTTACAAATCTACGTATGCGTGTGTGTGACTTGTCACATTAATTCTGTATTTAAGCTATTTTTCAAAGCAATTGTACGCATCCAAATGAGATCGAGACTTTTATATGTATGTATATATACGTATGTGTGTTTACTAAATTATTTTCGCAATTTTTATTCGCTAAACCATGTATAAATGTATAAGTATGTGTTCGTAATTATTGTATTTGTATTTAATATATTTTAATGAATTAAAGGCGTGCGTGTGGGTTGGGGAAATAATTAAGTAATTATTTTAGTTAATCTATTCTATTTATCTTTCGTTTTAAATCGCCTTACTTAACCATGTGATTCAATTCAGCTAAGAAGTGTAGTAATAAAATTTAATATAATTAATATTTAGAAAATTTTGCGAACTTTATGATTTTAAGCTATTCGATCAAACTTAACGCCATTTTCAGCAACATTTTATCAACTCTCCTAATGCTACTTAAAACTACACCTAGTTATTTACTTATGTATGTCTAAAGTGTGCGCGACTTACTTAACAACTCACATTTTTTCTCAAAATACTTTGGTCTTATCTGAAAGTGCTTGAGAGTCCGAATTCCAAAGAAAAAAATCTGGCTATTATTACTTGTCATCGAAAACCGGTGACGAAAGTGATGCCAACTAATTTTTACTTGCTTGCTTGTAACATTACTATACTGTTCTATTAGGCTGTTTGTTATTCAATACAAAGTCTACTAACTGTACTTATGTATGAGCTAATTGCCCAAACTACTCTCAGAGTCACTGATTACTCATTTTACCGGAATTCAGCTATGAGAAGTCAAACTTTTCGCGCACACTGTGTAATTTTTTCCACTATGTTCAGAATATTTCACACAAACATTCACATTTCTCGATTCAGGCATATTTCCGAGGCAACTTGAGCGATTTCTCGGCCCTGCATGCTCGGATTTCTCACAAAAAGCGTTGACACACACACACACATGTATGAGTATTTTGCATGCGTCCACTGTTTATATAAAATTTTTGTTATTGTTGTTGTTGTCATGGCTCTTTTTACATAGCTGCGGTCTGAATGCCCGCCTGCGGCGATGTCGACGCCTGCGGTGATTGTTCGCTGCTGGTCGTTGCCGCCGCCGGTACAACGGCATTTTGCTTCGCCGTCGCCTCGGTAGTCTTCAGGAAATAAGTTATCAAATCGATGGGTAATGGGAAAACAATTGTGGAGTTCTTTTCCGCTGATATTGTGTTGAGTGTCTGTGATGTGGTGATAATTGGAAAGTTATGATTAATTTTGTGTGAAATTTTCTTGTTCAAAAATAATTTGATGTAATTGTTTCTTACCTGTAAGTAACGCAGTTGGAGCGCTGCTGGTGAGCCGCCGATCACCTCGGATGCCTCGCGCAATGCCTTGGAGGCTTTCTGTTCTCCTTCGGCGGCGATAACTTTAGCGCGTGCCTCACGTGCGGCCTCAGCCTCGGCGGCCATGGCACGTTGTAGTTGTACTGGCAAGCGCACGTCCTTGCTGTTGTGTGGAAAATGTTGCGAAATTTATATTAATCATTGAATTATTATTTATAGTTTGGCTGGAACGCTTTTGTGAACAGCTTCAAAGGACAGTAGATAAGTTAGTTGAACATAAAAACTACCCAGAGGAATACCAAGTCTCATTTGCTAACTTTTCTGTAACTTTAAAATGCTTTTCTGCCCCATAATATTAAGTTGTCTCAATGTGCCATAGAAGTATGCGCAAATAATAATGTATGTAAAAATAAAAATGCAAAAGGTTTTAAATGCTTAACAAAAATACTAGAGAACCCTCTTGTTTATTATCCCATCATAAATTTACAACAAATACCTTTCAAATGGGCGCAGTAAAGCAAATCAATACGTCATTATACTCAATTACGTGATTGAAAACAAATACGTGACCTAAGATACGCCAGCTAGAGCTACAATATACCATATACATACGTATGTATGTGTTTATGTGTGTATGTGTTGTACAACAACATAACTAGTATATATACATATAATATATAGTCAATGCTGCCATTGGTCATTTTTTATTTGCTCTCGCTGCATGGAACGTAAGTAGCTCTCCATATGTACATATATATATATAATATATATATGTATGTATATATATTGTTTGCTAAGAATTCAATATTCAATGCTTATAGTGCTTTAAACAGCTAAATGGTTTTGCAAAAACAATTATATTTCATGTTTAGAGCTGCAAGTCGTTTGGTAAATACTTGTACATTGCGTATACGTAACATTATTATTTGGGAGGAATTCAATGTTTCCAATAAACGGTGCTTTGATGGTAATTATACAAGTAGCATACTTAGCTATTATTTGGTTTTGAAACTTTTGGATTCGAAACTGATTTTATAATATTTATTTATAATTTTTGATGATTGCATTTTCTACTAGGGTGTAGCAGTGCAGCACGTTTATTTCAATTATAGAGCAGCAATGTAGGTTATGTCGATTTAAAAGAGAAATTAAGAAGAGTTGAAAAATAAAAAATTCCCAATGTCCAACCCTAATCTGCCGTTGCTTGAAGTATTCTCATAAGCTTTGGCTGCTTCGCTCGATTTAAGTAAATTAATAGAAATAATTAAAACGTAAACAAAGGTTGAAACAGTAGCAAATAACGCTGCTTGGCCTAGCTGCATAAATATTGTATGTAAATATATGTGCAATGTGTTGCTGTGTATGCGTTTGACGTGAAATTGAATTATCCACAGAAGGCAGCACATATCTACACACGTGTAAGTAGTTAAATGCTGGTTAACCTTTGACTTGGTGGCACTCAAATTACGTTCACACACACATATGTACTTGTACATATGCAGCGGCATGTACTTATTTTGCCAGCACATTGACGCATATATGTGGAAATGTGTGTGTGTTCTTGAATATCCAGACATACGTGCCTGTTGGCAAACAAAGGTATAACAAGTAAATCCCTTCACTTACATACTCGTACACATAAATAGGACCTGAGAAGCATACGAAATTCTGGCACAATGGCACACATTGTTGTTGTTAATTATGTTGGCGCTTTGTTGCAGCCAAATTGGCTTAAAGCCGTCAGTTCATTAAGCGAGCAATGCACCCTGTATTTATTATGCCGCAACCATTATGTAGCTTAAGAGTTTTAATAACTGTTGATCCAGCCAAAAATGAAACGACTTCCATACTCACATGAGCACGTGGTATTTAATTATGGAGTTGTGGTTATGTTCATTCATGAATAAAGAAATCGAAAGATATTTTTAAAATTATTAATTAAAATAAATGAAACGTGTTGGTGTTATGAAAGAAAATTATTTTTAAGTTCTACAAGTAGATATTAAATACATCTGCTGTGGTGCTGGTGAAACGTTTTGCTGTTCAAAGGCGCCCAGATACTCCGACTATAGCCACCAAAGCTTTAGAAATGTATAATTCACTTTCCTCATATATAAAAAACTATTTTCGTTTTAGTTTTTCCCCCGAATTTGTAAAATTTTTCAACTTAACTCTACTTAAAATGTTATTTTTACTTAAAACATCCTCAAAACATCCTCAACAAAAACATTAACTTATAATCTACAGTTACTTACATTTCAACACGCTCGACTTTAATGCCCCAAGCATCGGTGGCTTCGTCTAGTTGGACCTGAAACGCCGCGCAAAAGTTTCGTTCATAATTGCGTGGCAAATCGGCAGTCGGGTGAAAGTGGTTGATAACAAAGCGATTATTTGTTTATTTACAAACGCCATTGTTGGTTGTTATTGAGCGGATTAATACACCCCAAAGCACCGTTAGACCATCGACATGCAAACAAGACAAATACAAATACAAATGGTACAATATTAGTTTCAGATTTCCTTTTGACATCTCCTTTGCTCTCATATAGTCATAAAACTGTACAAATTCAACTTTTTTATGAGCCTGAAAGATGAGCGCAGACCTTACATCGCTACCCACATTCAACATTAGCTTACCGATAAAATCCAATAGAAGTAATGTTGTTGTTGTGTGTGTGCTTGCCGCAGACAGCATTTGCAAGGACAATATTTTGTTTAGAATTTTTTTTTATTGTTTTAGCAGAGAGCAAGGCAGCTGGTTATGGGTTGTGCATTGGTTTGGGCATTCTTTATTGCGGTTGTACAATTATTGTTCTTGATATTTTTTCCAACACTAGATTCGATTGTTATGCCCAGTTTACTTTTGCCATCTTTATGGCCAAAACATGTCATGAAAATACAAATAGTCGCCATTTGTTGCTATTATTATTGGCAACGGTGGCATGCAATATCGTTTTTGATTTTTGTTTTAACAGCTTTCCTTTTAAATATTTTTTATATCTGGTTTTAGAGAAATTCCATGAAAAATTCTCAATTATCCGATATATGGAAGAATGAAAGTTCTGGATTAGCCATATAAGGATCCAGTTGTAGGAGAAGGTCTTATCAAACAACATAGTGTGAATAGACTCACAGCCAACAATATATGAATTCAGCACATAGCCACATAACTAAATGAGATGCTATGTAAAAAAAGAGCCAACAAATTGAAGTCATGAACTGAAGTTTTTTTCATTACAAATATTGTTTAAGTAGCAAAAGAAAACATATTTCGCTACGAATCGAATAACGATTTTCACTTAATAGGAACCCGAAAATAAATATTTTTTTAAGCTATTGCATAGCTTCTATCGCGGGCTTTGAGCATGGGGACTGAATCAGGAAATTCCGTAACGGAAATAAACCTAACACGATCACAAAGTATGTGCAAAATGTTTGCATATTTGTAGGCGAATTTAATAAAAATAAATTATTCAATATTCGGAGTCATAATATTAGTAATATTATTATTATTTTGGTAAATAGCTACCCAAAAATTCCTGAATAACATATATGTATTGTAAGATAATAAAAATATTGTAAACAATATAACTTCTCATTTATTCTATTGTATAAAAGAATAAAAATTTGTTTTCTTATCGGGATCGATCACGCTCAAAAAGTTTAATTTGAATTAATCTAAAAAAACATGAATTCATATCAAAAAAAAATACTGCATAAAAAATAAATAAATAATTATAATTGCATAAATTTATACAAAATGCTTAGCAATAGCTTTACCTCGAGAGTCCGCGAGTGCCGCAAGTACTTTTTATATTTCTAAGGAATTAAGTTGTTTCTTCTTCCATTAAAAGTTAATATAAAATTTAATTTGCATTACTTTGAAGATTTCGAATTACGTTTTCTAAATGCTTTTATTTTTTAAGGCTTTTTGTTTAAATTTTTGCCTGCAAAATGCGTAAACGGAAACAAAAAACTTTACATAAAAGGAAAATTTCGAATTTCCATTTAAAGTGAACCGTTTTTTATTTTCTATCAAATTCAATTCCGTTATTCAAATCAACGCTTTAGCATTTTGTACGATATTTAAGAATCAATTTAATCAAATGACCTCAATGCATTTTTAAGGCTTTAAATATATCACACATACATACATATGCGTATGTTCATATGTAGTAGAAAACTTATATGTTCAGACAAATACCCGCCAGTAAAATTGAGATAATCAAGTGTGTTATTGATGGATGTGATAGTTGTCAAAATTATGTAAAATAGAAGAAATAAAATTTGTTCTATATTTCAAACTAAATATTATTAAAATTTTCTTATTCAAAAGAATTATTCGAATCCTCAGTCCACTTATATTCGTGAAAATGAAACTCCAAAAATACCAACTATCGCCATTGAAGATTAGAATTGGTTTCTAATTCTGCCGACGCTGTTTTTATGTATTTATACAATGAGTTTAGTGCCAAGCAAAACATAGTTAAGCTGCATAGATGAGTTTAGAAATGGCCATCAGTGTGAGTTGCCGCATCATTCAACGCTCCGATAACTGTTTCACAAAATATGTGATCTAACTTCGTGAAGCACATTATCATTACATGTGCTAGTGATTTAATATCTATTTCAAGGCTGTAGTCTCAAAGTGTACTTCTAACATAGACAAGACTTTCCATTTTTCGGACTAGACATATTTCGCAAATAAGAGGAGAAGCTTGACTGAGGGTCTTTCAAAGTTACACATATGTATAAAACGAACCCAGTCCTTTGCTCCAGGCATTAATATAAAAATTGTAACCGAACTGAATTCTCAAAACTCACATCTCACCTCACCGATATTGGTGCTTCAACTTGTAACTTCCCACTAAGTTTTGTTGCTGTTCGAAAATTCACTTATTTCCAGCCGACTGGTAACATAGTACACCAAAATGGGCCTGTTCCAATCTAACTCACGCGCCTCGAATTTTCATGCAGCCAACAAACAAGCGCATGCATTTATTTATATTGCAACTTTTCTAACTGTATTCCCATTGAGGGATCTCGCATTGCAAATGCAAATGTCGTCCGTAACAAAGTGTTTATTTATTTTATATTCACTCTCGTCCATTCTCTAAATAGTATATTGCGCTTGCAAATGCACAAGCATGGATGAATGCTGGTGGGTGTTTGTGTGTGTGTGTTGCGCTTTGCAATATTTTGCAAACTTTTCGATTTGTGTGCGTCGTTTGCACAGTTTGCTTTGTATGCCAGCATTTGTTAATGTTAATGTGATTTGCGTTTGCGATCTTCTTTTTGCCTTTGCATTCGAAGCGCTGAACGCTGCATTCGTGATTTTGGTCGTGCATAAAAATCGCAATATCTCTTCAGCAGCGCGTATGTGTGAGTGTGTGTGTGCTGATCTATTTGCATGTATTGCTTGTGCACGCTTCATTGCTTCAAATGGCTTGACGATTGAGAACTGAAGGGCATGTCGATAGCTGACCCGGCGGACGGACGTGCATACATCCGCATGTACGTGTATATGTATGTGCATGTGTGAAGTGGATGAGGGGAGCTGGTGGTTGTTTATGCGAACTCATCAATGGCAAGTGAGATGTCATCTCTGTTTATTTGCATGAGCGCATCATGTAAATATAAACAACGATAACGACCTGAGCAAAAAATGTTGCACCAACACACATACATACACACACATGCATGTGCTTCGTTGTGTGAATGCAGCACTGCTTAAATTCTTGTTCTACGTGTATTCTTTGCTGCTGTGATTGTGTGCGTCAAATCAACATGGGTGTGTTGGCGACTTGCATGACTAGCTCTGACAGCGTTGACAGGTGACAACAGTCATCGGTTGTCAATGCCGTTAGTTCGAACGTCTTTCAGTGCGATGGAAATTAAATTAAATGTCAAATGCTGAACTTCGGTCGATATGTTTCTGACATTTGTAAAGGAGTTAACATTCAAAAAATGTAGTGATTGTTCTCAGGGCAGGCCTGCCTTTTGCAGAAGGGATATGGGTTCACTATTCGTACCCGATATTTGGACCCTTCTAAGTTTTTATTACCAGATATTCCAAAAATCCTATGTGTAGGCCTGTGTGAAAGACAAGCGTGACGGCAATTCTGCTAATTTGTAGACGGGTTTTCATTGTACCGGCCACTGAAGCTTCTTGTTACTTTTGCTTCAAGATCTAAGCACACTTAAATCACCAACAAAAGTAAAAAATGTATTATGTCAAGACATATTTGAATATTTTGATATTACTTTGTACCAAAACTTCGCCCCACTTATTTTATTTAATGTCACAAATTTCTAATAAATACGTATGCATGTCATCAAGCCCACAACAAACGCCCACCTTAAAGTTATACCCAAAACTCATTTAATATCACCATATGGTGAATAAGGTTTCTTGGTTTATTATTTTTGAATTAGGAAAGTTTTGACACACATGAATAGATAACTTATTCATAAAATGCCTTTCCTTTGAATTATAAATATTTGAAGTTTTCTGTTTTTTCTGCGCGTTTGTTGTAACCTCAAAAGCACACATAAAGTTGTGACTTTCTTTTCAAATTTGCTTGGCTCATATATTATTTCACCGTACTCACACACTTACATATCTGTAGTGAATTTTCTTTTTTTTACATGTGTGCTTTTGTTGTGCTATCGTTACTGTGTGCACACGTGTACAGTGGCAGAGGAAAAATTGTGTCAAGTGTGCGAAACGACGACATGACTAAAAGGCATTACACTTTGCACCTGAAGAAATTTTCAGGCTTTATATTCGTGGAAGCTGCAGTAACGACAAGCGAATAAATACTTTTATTTATGAATATACATGCATAGAAATGCACATAGGCGACCCTTAGCCCTTTACTCGTATAATGTGTCCCCAAGAAATTCATTTGCATAGTGAAATGTTTGGAAGTCACATACTCTATAGGGTGGATCTGAGCTGTTGATAAAATATTTTGTTAGAGTCTGGTTTCAATAAATGCGAGATAATCCAATAACCGAGAGAACATTTTAATTAATATTACCACTTCGAGCCGGAGTTTTTTTTTTTTGAAAAAGTCTTAAGAGTGTTTCCAAAATGGCTGACCAAGTACGAAGACCTTATACTAAAATTGGTTACAGTAACAGAATCTACTTTTAATCGACTCTCTCAGTTTAAGAAATTAGCTTATGATTCAGAGCTTAATATAATTTAAAGAAAGTATTCTTTAACATCTGAAATGCTATCGTTTTTGTTAGAGAGTATTGAAGGTTACAACATGGCTTGACAGTGTTCTCTCGAGAGGTATTAAAGAGATCTGTAAAGACGAAGACCTTTCAAAAATCACAAAATATTATGTTTCTATTCGCAAAACAGAATTGAAGAAATGTAATTTTAACCACTTCTCGATAATCCCGAAACTTTACATTACTTTTACCAAAAATTTAAAATATAACCAGCTTGTGATCGTGCGATTTCCTTATAGGGCAGCCCCAGATAAACACATATTTATTTGAGGCTCCTGTAGTACTACTTCTTCAGCTGCTTTACTCACGCTGCCATTTATGCTCCTTTACCCGAAACCCTCGTCTGACATTCGCTCTTCATACAATCAAAGTAAAAACCACAGAACTATAAACTAAGCGACTGCAGTTTGCAACCTCCGATGATTTGCATTGGCGCTCCACACATCACGTTTACGCTCCATTAGCCTCTGCCGCCGACGCCGTTATTGCCCTTCCCTCTTTGTCTTGATGACTTCATAAAGGTGGAAGCACATGTGCGGCATACGCCAGTACCGAGCTGCCAACACATGTAGGAGAAATGTAACGGTTGATATACCTATATATGGGTGTGTGTAATCGGGTGAGAGGTGAGCGACAGTGATGCTGACACTAAACCACTGAAACTGAAACTTTGACGTTGATGCTGATGGTGATGGTGTTGGTGATTTGCGTACGCTGTAAAACAAAAACCGAAAACCAAAAACAAAAAGGTGAACGTTAGGTGTGACTCACCTGCATTGTGCCGGAAATTGTCATTCGCTCGCTGAGTATCTCATGCAAATGCCGAGTTCCCATTGTGTTTCGTAGAGTAGTCTGCGCCAAAAGTCTGGTCGAATGGTGAGCGTTCTCCACGTTCGCTATAGAAACTGTCGCATTGGAAACGCGATAGTAAACCACTGCATCCACCGACACGGTGACACTGTCCTTTGTCAGAACCTACAAAGTGCAGTGGTGGGTTTTGTATGGTTGTTTGTTTCTAGCTTCGTTTGTGCTTTGCTTTGCTTAGATTTGTTTTCTCTAATCTCTAATTTCTTATTTCATATTTGTGATTGCTTAAGCTTTTGTTTGTTTGTCTGCTGTTAGCTTATTTGTTTGTATGCTTTATTTTAGCAATCAAAGCGGAATTTTCTAATATATGATTTTTGTGAATTTCCAACGCATTTTTCATTTGTGAGTTCAATGTGAGCTTTTCAATTACGCAAGTACATACAAACATACAAAGAAATAAGCAAGTGTCGTTGGCGCTTTCTGTTGGTGATGGTTTCCCTGACACAAAGTCACAAAGTCAGCTACATACATACATAGCGGCACTACTTGTGCATATAAAGATAACCTATGTACTAAGCATAACCTACCCTACGAGTATGTATGTATGTATGTACGTATGACTAAAGTGCTGAACACATAGACGACGACAAGCGACGACATGCAGCATCTGTAAAAATTAAAATACACACGTTCTAATGTGTACAGTTATTTAGACAGCAACACGACTTCACGGCAGAAGCCTTGCAGTTGGCGCTGTCGCTAAATTAAAACCAGTTCTAATTTTGCCGACGACAATGGGCAGCTGTAGTATTGCCACTAATACTCGTATGTAAAATGTGAAACTATTCACAGCTCTAAGAAATCTAATGTGATTTTGCCAACAGAAACATAAAATAGCACTGATATATTATTTGTAATAACAACTGATAATTTAAAACAATGACTCGACCAATCTACTTTTTTTTTGGACAAAAAATGTCACTTTGAACAAGACATTTAAATTTCATTGAAGTGAAAGGTTTTAGTAGGGCAACAACGAAATTCTGTGCATCAGCTGTTTGATATGTCGCTGCCGTCTGCAAAATGTTCAAGAAGCAAGCTTCAGGACGACATTTGCCGACCACAAAATTTCGCTGTCGTGCAGTCTTGTCGTGCAGTCGTGTTGTACCGTCGTCTTTGTGTTCAGAGCATAATGTTTATTGCATTTTGGTGAGTTGCGTGCGCATTTTCATCTTCATTTTCACTATAATTTGCGACTGTATTTTCCTTTACACCTTTTCATACACACACACATATTTAAGAAATACTTGCAGCCATGCGCGTGTGTGTGTGGATTGATGGGAAATTTGTGCCGCCTTAACGCTCGCTTGCATGTGAGGAAAGAGAAATGCGATTTTGTTTGCATTTTCTTAATTTTCGCGAAGAATGACGTGAATTGTGGTGCGAAATGCGAAAAGCAATGACAGGACACAACATTGAATACATACATACATACAACTACATAAGTGAATACGTACAGTTAAATCTACGCTATATCCTATAATACATACTTATGCAACCGCCTATTTATTTATTTGCTGCGAACAGTGTTACCACACCGCAGCGTCACTTGCTACCGGCGACAAGGACACTCGCTGCTTAATACATGTGCCTGCGTCATTTTAGTGTGTGTGTGCATATGTGCCTCCATTTTGAACTTAATTTAAGGCACAAAGTTGGCAGTAGATTTATGCACATAATTAAGCCTTTGTGTATATTTACTTAATAATTATGGTCTGTACAAGTTGTGCTCCTGTTGTGCGTTTGTGAGTCCGAGCGCTTTTGCAATTGCCATACATCTTCTAAAATGAGCTTTTGCTAGTGAATGGAATGTGATCGATTTTGTGGTGAAAAATAAATTATTCCAGTGAAATGCACGCAAATTAAATCGGTGAAATGCTCTATATGAGTCGAGGATACACATTTGATATTGGACATTATGCTTGTATGACAGATTTAATGGTGTAATTGATAGTCGTGGACATCGAGTTAGGAAACCTCTCAACTGAACCCACCACCGGTTTTTTGACTTGAAAAACATTTTCTACTAGAACAAGTTTTTTTAGAACTTGCTTTCGACATCCAATGCAACAAACAGTTGAGAAGTAAAGGTCTTATTAAAACACTTTCGTGTTAGCAGCATCGAATATCGCTTTCAGAATTTTCGAAATTAAGAAAAAACTGAAGTACGGTTATTGACTCAGTAAAATCACATTTGTGTTTAATAAGCACATCAAGGATAAAACTTCCACTCAAAAACATTTTCACATGCTTGAACATCAATCATTTGTGCTTGAGTTTTCGAACACAAGGAAATTTCGCTTAAAGTTTATGGCTTGCGTTTAAATATATAAAAGTATTTAAACATGTTTTAAATGAATCGAAACTCGTCGGTTATTAGCGAGGAGAAAAAAAATGCTAAAAAAAATTATTTTTCAATGATCAGTACTTTAAAACCAACGGTACTTGCAACCATCTGTAATTCGGCAGGTTCGTAGTTTGGATTGACCTCTGGGAAGATATACGAGTTGAAATTTAGATTTTAAAATTGCCGTTATTTTTTGAACACGCCTTGTAAAATCATATACACAATGTTGTTTTACTTTTACCAGGTTATTCTTAAGATGCAAGAACATAAGAAGAAACTTGTGTGTTTGTGGAACTGAAGGTCCGTATTAAGCCACGAAACAACATTAATGAGCCTATTAGTAGTTTCCCTCTTAAGGCTTTTTTACTCATAGACTAGTCTACAAGAATTACTGATTTTGATTTCAACTAAGCAAAGTAGTTTTTAGTTCACTCAGAAATGTATGTAATATTATTAGCTGTCTTCGATTCACCATTGCTCTGCTCTTTTTCTTTGTGTGCAAAAACAAAGTTAGCTAGCTGAATTTGTACAAGAGAATATGCGCTAGTGTGGAAGCGAAAAAAATTATTTTTTTGTTGCTTAGCCTGAGGGTGAAATTTGTAGATTATAAAAACAAAAGAAATTTTTAAACATCTAGAAATAGATTTTTTGATAAGTGTTCTAGAACTTAAAAGTTATCAACTTAAAAAAAATATTTGTGGCCATTATTGGAGTTTTAAAAAAACGTCTTAAACGACAACATGCTTTCCTTAAGCGTTAAAATAAATTTTGAGTCAAAAACCGTCAAATTCGGTAATTTTCATATAAATGTGAAGAGTTTAAAATAAAAATAAATTTTTTCTTGTCCAAAAAATATTTAAAAGTAAATGGGCTAGATGTTAAAAAAAAATTTTTTTCCAAAAATTTTCTGTCTTTATAATCTACACATTTTAACCTCATAAAAGTGGTTGAACCGCTATCTTTAATGCACCCAAGTTTTGTTCTGCCTATACATATTAGATCAGTTTTCCCGTAGTAAATGGCTTATATGACAAATTTCCCTCAAAAATGGAAATACAAACATTTTTTTGTTTATTTTCAATAGAAAAGACGGGAAATGAGGAATAGAAAAAGGAAGCCTGGAAACCGAGGTCACTAAAATGTTTCTTATGACGAAAAGAAAAATTTCTTTAGCATAGAAATTTGCCTATGTGTGAAAGGACATAATAACACAATCGTGCACCATAAGTGCTAGTCATTTGATTCAACATCTGGTATAGTTTGTTCGATTCGCTACTCTCCAACGCTTGGCGTATCGAAGACAGCTTTTATTGCTTAACGATTTTTAAATCTATGTAATCATGTATTATGCCTACATATATGGCGTGTGTTTATAGCGGTTTACATAGAATATCGTTGAGAGATAGCTGTCTAAGGCTCTCTTACACCCAGAAAAACGTCTAACTGGTGTAAACATTATTTTCTCTTTAAATGTCATGTAGATAAAAAAGTGTAAATCAAGACGAAATAAGTTTAATTACATATACATATATATAATATAATATGCACAAAAAAGAGAACAAGAGTGTAAAAGTATAAGAAGAATGCTCAGGTTTCGTACAAAAAATACATATGTAAGTATATAAATAAGTTGATAATGTGTGTTGTGTTAAAACAATATTGAAATAAATCGAAATTGAAATGAATTAAAGAAATGATCGAAATAGAAACACAAAAAGAAGGAAAAATCATTCTCAACTAAAGAGACGGATGGAGTGCAATTTGATCACACACTTGGGTACATATGTTCACATACAACTGTACTGTACTGTGCCACACTGGAGTGTTACACATTTGTACATTACATACATTATACATATGTGTATGCAATACCTAACTAATGGGTTCATTATTATTTAGTTATTTGATATTATGGTTAACTTTATTACAATTTGCACAGTCTTCCGGAGTCAACCAGCTTTATTCACATTTCAACGAAAATATGCATGTATGTATATAATCCAAATCAAATGAGAATATCTGTATGTATGTAATTAGAATTGTGTTTGATTATATACTGTTTTTTGGTAGGTATTCGTATATAGGTATGTAGTGTAGACTAGCTGCGATCGCCAAACGATCTTACATAGCTTTCTTTTTATGCACATATATAGGTCTACTGGGTTGGTACGCCGGGGAGTCCTCTTTACAAAGGTTGTTGGAGCAGAAGTAATATGAATTAAGTGTATACATATACAGTTTAAATATATACAAGTATATTTATATAATTCGATATTTATATATTAGTTGGATATATCTTTATAATTAGCTTATATAAGTATTATTTTATTTTGATTGAGGAATATTTAACCTGTATGTATTTATATAGTTGTTAACTAAATATGTATATAATTCTATCACTATTTATAGGTGTTGATTATTTATTATCATATTTCATATACATATCTATTAATGGCTGCTTGTTTGTTTCTATCCTTAGTAAATATTTGTATATATATTTATATTCTTATATAGTTACATCGGTATGATAATTTAGTAGTTATTCTAATAAGTATGAGTTTTGCCTCAGGTAATCTACGCTTTACTCGGCAATAATCTGCATTACATAAATAAATCTGTATATATTGGCTACTAAATACATAGGTACTCGTATTAATCTATTTATTAATGGTACTACAATAGTATAATCACCGACTAGCTGTCGCCTAATAAGTGTAGATATTGTCTGTGTATATGTTATAATGTATGTAGGTGTTACTGA